TATATATATATATATATATATATATATATTGAAATTTAGTTGGATATATAAATGCATAGGGATTGAGGGTGTGTATGTAAATCTTCCTTATTTCTAACATTAAATATAACATTTTAACCACCCAAAATTTTCAATGAGCGCAGAACTAAGGGCGTGTAAGTTCATCAAGCTCAGTTCACGCCACTTATCAAGTCAAGCTTAAGCCAGCTACGTAAAATGGAGAAATTCATAGAGAAGACTTATGGTAAAAAAATTTGGGGAATAGTAACTAGGAAGCCATTAATCTGAACAAAGGTGGCATTTAATAACGAGGGCAAAAAAACCATCAAAGTCCTGCCCAATATGATGCTGTGGAGGGCAAAATATTATTTCTACACTTGCGTACATCCAATCATGGGACTACATCCATTTTTTGATGTTTGATAGGGTTGGTGTAGCTCCTGTGACGGACAAAATTAGAGAAAATCGTCTTAGATGGTTTGGTCACATTAAACGTCGATCATCTGATAATCCGATTAGGAGAGTAGATGTTTTAGATTCGACTTATGTTAAAAAAGACAGAGGTAGACCTAGGAAGACTTGTGCTTATTGTATTAAAAATGATCTTAATTTACTAGAACTAGATGAAAATATGACACTAAATAGGACGCAATAGAGAAAAATGATTCATGTAGCCGACCCTACGTAGTGGGATTAAGACATTGTTGTTGTTGTTGTTGTTGTTGTTGTTGTGGCCTTGCATGATTGGTTGTACAGACATGCAGTATAGTGTAATATTTTTCTCCGGGGAGACATAAGTTTAACCACTATATTTTGTAGAATACTGAATCAATCAGTTTCATTATTTATTTATTTTGCTTTTGCTTGAATTTTTAAAATAATAGGCAACTGCAAATAATTAAATGTTACGAAAGAAGAGATTTTACATTTTTATCCCTATATTTGACGCAATTTTCAGGGAGAGTCAACTATTGTTCCTTGAGAATGTCTTTCAACAAATGATTGAATAAGGGGGTTCACAAGATCTGGTGCCTCATCCTGCAAAACACAAAGATTGAACCTTTGCCAAATAAATACAAAGGATATAGGAACGAAAATTTAGATATAGCAGATTTCAAAACTCTTTACAAGTATAAGAATTGTGTGGTATGGATCTAAATACCCCAATTGTAAATAAAAGAAAGATGAAATATTAAGACAAACCTGTGGGCAATGGCCGACATTAGGCAGAGCAATAAAATCCTCTACTGCTTCAAAGTTAGCATAGGCTTTCCCGAGTTCTATAGGCTCCCAGGGATCCTTTTCTCCCCAAGCCACTACAACAGGGCACTGAAAAAGAAAAGAAGTTAAATGGTGCTTTCCACATGCTGAGAACAGGGGAGCAACGCAACAATAGTCGAAAGTTTCAGATAAGTAGTAACTTAATTCTAATGCATTTACATATCTAACACCTTGACATCAGTTTTTACGCATATGTCATCTTGCCTATACGTGACACCACAGGAATTAAGCATATTTGTATTGGACATAACAGACATAAATCGAACGTAAATCCGGCAATATTTAAGGATTATCGTCGAATTTGCATCTGATTTTTTTCGATATTAATATGGGGGGCGGTAATATTATTTATGTCCAATTTACGTCGAACAATTCACAAATCATTTTAGTCGGTTTTTGTGTCGTTTTTTAGTCGAATTTGTTTATATGAAATGTTCGTTGAAATTTGTGTATGAAAATATCATATGATGAATATTAACGTTCGATTACCGTCTAATTTGCATAAGAAAATATAGTACAATGACAAAAATCTAATTGTCGATGTAGCGTCGGATTTTACGTTTGAATACGAACGCAAATCCGACGCAAGCCTGTAACACAGAAAAAAAATTTAGAATATTATTCACATTTTCACAACCTACACAAAAACACATTCCACATTATATACCACATTAATCATATTCATATCAATATCATATCTCTATACAATATCATTAATAAAAAAGAAAATATTATCACAAATCATCTCAAATAAAAATAATAAAGTTATTCCAAAACATTCCACAACAAATGGTCAACATAACACTTATAAATAATAAAAAAAAAAACATTAAAAAAAACTACTCATCATCTCCATCCTCCTCCTCCTCCTCCTCCTGCATGGATGTCATCGACTGATTGCCCCGACTATCCGCTAAAATATCCACCATACAAGCTATAGAGTCTTCAACTCTATGCTGGTCTTCTAGCATCTGCTAGCGCAACTGGCAGATCTCTTCGCTCATTGCAGCTACCTGCCCAGCAAGAGCCTCCTTATCTGGCTGTGAAGAGCTTGAGGAAATAAGAATGGGACCACTGGAGAGCTCTGTCGCGAAGGCTAGGCCCTTCGTTCCAATGGCATAAGCCTCACCTTCCTCCATGTCGCTTAGGTCCAAAGCTCGTACTCAGAGTGTGCAGTGGTAGACTGACTATCACTGAAGTCTGAGTCTGAGAGGCCAAGTGCCTCTCCCGGAGATGCTCGAACTCCTCTTGCATAATGAAAACCAGCGTTTGATTGACACTTTAAACGGTTAGTGTCAAAATAAACTTTTAATGTAAGGTTTTTAACTTACATCAACCCGTCGGGAATGCTCCTAGACCCACTGCGCAGTCCCCGAGCGTCGATGAGTTCAGACACGCAGCTCCGCAACAGATGGAGCATGACTCAACTCCTTGGCCCGTGTACCGTAAAAAATGGTCAACGCTAAAAGAATTGATCATACAAAATTGAATTAATGTTTAAATATCTAAAAAAATATTATCAGCCACCTGTAATGCTCTGTATGGGGGACCGATCCGCAAATATAGAGCGTAACTCCCCTACCCCCCTCCGTCGCCCAATTCGTCTGCCACTTCCTTTCATAATCAGGAGAGCCCAAGTTGCGGTCAACTGACCCCAAAGCCCCTCACCAATCCAAACAGGCCACTCATTCCTCCAACGGGCTGTTATGAACATGTCGGCAAGGCAATGCCTGCCCCGAATCTCAAAGATTTAGCGCATCTGCTGGTGGTGCTCTGGGAGCCAGGTGAATGACCTTTACAACGTAAAAAATAATTCATGTTAGTATAAAAAACTAAATCAAATTTACAAATATGATTCAAATTACATGATTGTACCTCAAACTCCCTGAACCACAAATCCAGAGTGACTATAGTTATCTGCTTCCATGACAGATAGCGCTCATCATACCTGCTCCTGATAATATTTGTGATGCAGGCGACGAGCAGCTTGTAGGGAATGAATTTTCTTAAGAAACAAATTAATTACCAAAAAAGATATAGCATGAAAAATAAACAAAATATGGAGTGTAAAATAACTTATGAGTCCTTTGATAATAAATGTAACCTTGAGGGGGCAGGAGTCAACAGATCAGGCTCAAGAGTTGTGCAGCAGCATGTGAGGGAGTAGGTGCAGAAGGAGCAAACAGATTAGACGGGGCAACAATAAGGTACAGGAGCAGGTGCCATAGAAGGGGCGGTAGCAGCGGGTAAGGAAGGTGTAGCAGCAACCAGTGGGAAAGAGGTGCCACATAAGGTGTAGTAGCAGCGGGTGGGGGAGGAGATAATAGAGAATGTGTAGAAGTAGTGGAAGCAGCGACAGGAGTAGACGACCTCTTCCTATTGCGGTAGGTGGTTTCAAGGATCCCCAGAACACGAGGTCTATGAGGTGACTGATCACCTGTACCACTTGTGACCATCTGTAAACAAAAGAATGACATTAAAAAGATTATTACTAGTAGGAAAAATAAACATAACTGTGCAGTAAAGGTTATACACAAGTAACAATTATGTCTAAAAACAAGAAAACAAGAGTAAGAGTTATATGCCTAATAACAACAAAAGTAAAAGATCAAAATTAGTGGTAGTAACAACTAATCTAAATTTTGCATACATACATTATTAAGTTTCATAAAAAAAAACTCATCGTTGAAGATGAACATAGAATTTCTTTTTCACTCTCTTCATCATTCTCATCCAAACTATGAGCAACCTCTTCAAAAATCCCTGTGATATCCTCTAGCGCAAACATTTCAACATTTATGTCACCCTAAATACAAAAATCTGACATACTTTTCACTTGGTAAATTGGTTCATACAGAACTATGAAGCTCGGTAGTTTTTTTTATTTATATTTCATAGCCACAATCCAATCAACTTTTATCTCTTACTCTACCAAAGAATTAAAGGTAATAAACAATGTTTAGTTTAGCGTGCCAGAACAAAATGATTAAACTTCGCATATCGTCAATTTGACCTCAGTGACATCATAAAGTGTGAGTGTTTGGGTTACTCAATTCGGAACAAGATCAAACCACTGACAGTTGAACAAGTACACAATGTAGCTGGCATTGCAAAGATATTACAATTGAACGACTTCGTCAAGTGCGCCATAATAGCAAATCTCACCATCTGTGTGTGCTTCCTTTAACAGTAGCACTACAGTTATATGTCTTCTTCCCTTCACACTAGCAACTCGTATGGAATGTATAACGTTTACATCAAATATCTATCATGTAATAACACCACATTTAGACCTAGAGGCAAGATTTACTAATCTCTAATCTATGATTCCTTTGGTTGTATTGTGAGGTATAATTAGTGTAACTTAAATGCGACGATCATATTATACACATGTGATTAGAAGTGTTCAATATACATGCGTATAATTTGAACCATGTTGGAAATTCTATTTCGACCTTCCTGCTTATCAGAGACTCATCTTTCATATCGAAGTCATCGAGAAGTAAACTGTTGACAATATTGTTATATGTATTTTTGAATTACTCAGTATATAATTACTAACATTCTCAATAATAAATGACAATATGGATTGAATTTGAGGACCATCAATCTTACTGTATAAATGACTGAATTTTGTCACAGTTCATCAGGATGTATAACGAAGCTGCCTGAATCTCTTTATCGCTTAGATATCATGGCATGCATCTCTGATGACTCACGTGATATTTGATATACGAATAATTCTGGTTGTGGAGGCCTGTCACCTAAAATATGAACTCTTTGATGGTTTTGCTTAAAATAAAGAGTAGAAATTTATCGTTTCCTACAACATATATGCTTCACAAATCAATCCCTCATGATGTGTTTTATTCTTAATAGTTTTTTTATTTTATTTAAAAACCAGCCGCACATAAATTTTATATTGAATATGGTGGTCATTTAGTATGAAATAAAATGCTACTTGTAATGCATGCATCAGGAAGACAAACCTCTCAAAGAGATACAACCATTTGTACTGCACCGAACCCTCTAGTATAGCCTCATAACATAGATATATAGGCCGATGCTCTAAAAAGTCGAAGAAACCAGGATAAAATATCCCCTCAAGCTTACATAGTAATAGGGGAACACTAGCATCAAGATGTATGAACGAGTTAACCAATATCCCCGCACACACTCTCTGAAGAATATGCTAACTTAGACCAAGGTATCGAGCACCGGCTTCGGCAACGCATGAAATACAATGGGTAATAAGCACTGTAGAAATATATGATAATCGTGATTCTTTATGCCAAATACCTTACCTGTTTCTAAGTCGAAACAATGACTAAATTTGAGACAGCCACTGGGAAACTTTAGTTAATTCATCCACTCAAAAATTGTCCTTTGTTGATCTAGTGTATGATAGTATACAACTTTGGGTTTTATTAATTTACCTCCATTGTCCCATGAAGCACTAAGATCCTCCTTTTGCAACACTTTTAAAGGACCATTCTAGCTTTCAAATTATATTTTGTCTTACCTCTAATATACATCACAGTGTTGAAGATGTTTTCAAAAAAAAAAAATCTTCTCAATGTGCATAACTCTTCTCAATGTGCATAACATCGATGTCTAATAAGATTAGTCTTCTAGTATAGAAGATCCCAGAATATACTGCGCTTCATTAAGTTATTCGTGACACCAAAATCAGGAAGACAAGTTGAAGCTAGCTCTGGTCTCTCAGTGAACTTCAGCATTTCATTGATCATCTCCAATATTTCGACTCCAGTAATCATGTGGCGTGAACTTGATTTCTCAACCCTCTTTTTGAGGAATGCATCTTTGTTCCTTCAAAATGGGTGACCGTGGTTTAGAAATCTTCGGTGGCAGTCGAACCAGTTATTTTTCCCATGCCATATTTTAGAGTAAATCTCTTCAGCATATCCATGCAGTAAGGACACGCCAATTTCGCAGTTGTGCTCAAACCAGATAACACCCCATAGGCCTGAAAATCACTAATTGTCCACATAAGAACTGTTTTTAATTAAACATTCTGATTCGTAGCAATGTCATACGTAAGCACACCTGACTCCTATAATATTTGAAACTCTCCTATAAAATGGAGCAGACATCAATATTTTCCTTCGAGTTATGGACCTGATATGATCAACATTAGAAATAAAAATGAAACAGTCATACACATATCGGGGGGGCAAATTGTACAGAGTAAAGATAACTGGCAACATGAGTAAGGGGTTACAACGTGACTGTACTGAGTGAAGCCATCCACACATAACCCAAGTCTAACATTACGTACTTCAGCTGCAAAATCCGAGTAAGTACGGTCAAAATGACTTCAGGCCTCACCATGTGACGAATGACTTAAGAGTTAGCATCAAAAGATCCAGTATTGTGTCGAGTCATGTGAGGGGTTGTACACATAGAAGCAAAAAATTTCTTAATCCGGGGTATGCGCAGAAAATAAAAGAGACACTTGTATGGAGTATTGTTCTCATTTTTATTCTTTCTCCCCCTTTGTTTGAATCTATACGCACCACAAAATCGACAATTCGTCTTGACTGCATCGAACTTGTAATATATCATGCACCCATTAACACAAAAATCGATCTTCTCACATTATAACCCTAACTTTGAAATTAATATTTTTTTAATGTATAGGTCATCTGATACTAAATTCCTTGCAGGATTAATCTTTTTCAACAAAGTTGCTACCTGATTGAATTAAAATAAGATTTGATGGTCAATATTCTCAGTGTCACTGATAATTTTGTATGTGCAGTGTAACCATCTCATAAAGGTTGTTGTGCATCATTCATTAAATCATAGAACTGTTGTGATTCTTTGTTCGGTGTTTTAAGTTCGTGTTAAATGCTCTCAACAGATTGAGCTCTTTGAGCATCATGAATCATTTCTTCATATGTGCAATGATCAAATTTCTCTACAGGGGGCATAACTTGTCGAGGCACATCCTTCATCGAGCAAAACTTCAGGTTCTTGCTCACCATGCACAGTCTAGTACCAATAATTAGATTTGAACCCCTTACGGTAAATATCTAATTCAACTTCTTCGGATGACAAAAGTGATTGATTTTTGTGCTTCGTACAAAGACACTGAAACTTACCCTCAAAACGATAAATGAGCATAGATGGACAGTTGTGATGCCACCAACATGAATTTCTCAACGCCATTCCAAAATTCATCAATGAGCCCTTTTTGTCTTGGATATAATCTGTTATAGATCCAAACTCTCAAATTACGAAGATTCATCTGCAGCATAGATATAATTTTACATATCGGTTCAACTACTACAAAAATAAACATTAATTAGTCTTTATTTATCAATATTGACAGGGGATGATTATGTTTAGTGGTCGTGGGAGCTAATTCTAATAGAAGAAAATGACCCAGTAACGTCTTTTAAGTAACTTGCTTTATCTGTTGAGCATATAAAATCCTTCTTTGAAGTTGTTTATTTTTTAAACAATAGACTCAATGCATTCCTCCATTTTAACCAACCAACGTGAATTCTACTAATAACATTCACATCTATATCACCATCACTATGAACAAGACCAGACACAGTCCTCCATTTCAACCAACCAACTTGAATTCTACTAATAGCATCCCCATCAATATCATCACTTTGAACAATAGACCAAATTCATGCATGAATTCCTCCCCTTCAACCAACTCTAATTCTACTAATAACAACATCCCTATATCACCATCAATTTTTACATACATACCATTGAACTCTTATGTATATACATACCTAATACCAAAACTTCAATTTTTACAAACATACCCACATTACCTATATATAAATTTCATACATATCACTCAATTCTTATGTATGTACACACCTAACACCAAAACTTCAATTTTTACATACATACCACTGAACTCTTATATATATACATATCTAACACCAAAACTTCAATTTATACATACATAACACATTATATTTGCATTTAAGTAATATATATCACTCAATTATTATGTATATACAAACCTAACATCTAAACTTCCATATTTACAGGCATAACACTGAACTCTTATCTATATATACACCTAACACCAAAACTTCAATTTATATACATACCACATTACCTATGCATTTAAATAATACATATTACTCACTTCTTATGTATTTACCTAACACCTATACTTCAATAGTTATATGCATTCCACAAAATTCTTATATATATACATACCTAATACCAAAACTTTCATTTATACATAAATACCACATTACCTGTGCAATTTATTCATAACTATCACTCAATTCATATGTATATACAAACCTAACACCTAAACTTCGATATTTACATCATACCAAAAATAAATGAAAATAGTGGCACAAATAGACTCACCTTCTTCAATGCTTTATGATTAAATGGATTCTGGTCATCTCTGCAAGCTCAAAGCATCGGGCGTCATTACCATCGTAACTAGCTCTAATAGTGATTGTATCATGAAGCTAGTTCGGTAAGGAGACAATTTTGAGCAAAATTGAAAAGGAGAAGGGAGGTGGAGAGGGGGAAGCTCGAGAGGGTTTCGTGCAGAAGAGGAGATCGGAGAAGCGTGCACGGGAAGAGAGAGAGGAGAAATAGAATTTAAGCGTGCGGGTTGAGTTTATTAGGTCATTTGCATTGTATTTCAATCCAATTTGCGTCAGAAATAGTTCGAAGTTGATTGGTAAAGAATTGCGTCAATTTTTTGGACACTAATTGTTGCAAAAAATGTCGCAATGCCAAAACAGTTTTCACCGTTTTTAGAATACTTTATCCGTCAAATTTTTTGACGATATGTGGCACATATCATACGCAAATATTAAAAATTATCATTTGCCGCTTAAAAATCACAAATTAGATGCTAATTTTTGCTTCGAAAAAAACTTTAACCAAATATCAGACGCTGATATGAGCTTTTCTTGTAGTGTGAAAAGGTGTAATTCACCTTTTAAAAGTTAAAATAGTGGTATTTTTTATGTGATATGAATAATTTGTGGTATAATTGTAAAAAATAAAGTATAGGTGTTAGATATGTAAATGCGAAAGAATTAAAGAGTGTGATGGTATGTATATAAAATGCCCCATTGGTGGTGATAAACCTTCACTTTGGGAAGCAAATCTTCAGGTAAGGGACCACCAGAGTAGCAGATGAACTCGAGAAATACAGCTGCTGCTCCTGGATCAAGCCCAGGTTGTAGAATGATGTTGACTAGTTCATCTGTAACTGCTGATTTATCATGATAACACTGGTAAAAATGTAAAACTGACAATAAGTTATAATCAGGATAGTTCAAATTGATAGAGAAGTCTACAAATGAAGTATATAGTTTGATCAACCTTGATTCATAAATCAAAGATTCAGTATTTTAATCATGAAAAAGCTTTGGCAAATATGTGCATTATAAAGGAGAAACTAAACAAACTACTAGCATTAGTACGCACTAATTGTAACCACAAATAATAAAGAAAGATTTACATACCTACCACTTAATTTTTGTTTATTTACATATCTAACGCCTAAAATTTAATTTTTAGGTACATGCCACTTACCTATGCATGAAAAGGTTCATTTCACTTTTTAAAAGTTAAAACAATGGTATTTTTATGTGATATGAGATTACAGTAAAGTTTACGTGTTACAGATGTAAATTCATAGGGATTGAGTGGTATGTATGTAATTGCCCCAATAAACCATGTATCAAATGCGTTAGAGAAAATCATTTAGTAATTGTGTTACTTTTGATAGGAGAAGACAAAATATAAAAAAGAAATAATGAAATGTGCAATTTTTCTTCATTCGGTCATGATATATTACAAGCACGAAATATTAGTAAGATTAAGGATGAGGGAAAAATATTAAGGATCACAACTGAGACAAAATAGATTAGGAATATGAGCCGTAAGAAAATTTTCAAACAGGCAAGAAAATATCAAGTTGTATTAGTTCTTAAATTCATGTTATAAGATTATCTCTATAAGAGACATTTTTTTCTCTTTAATCTGTGAATCATTTCAAACAAAAATCGACATTATTCTATAAGTGAATTCAAATGAAATCATACATATTAGAAAGTAAAATAAAATTTTGACTTACATATCCAGTTAAATAATACCTCGAGATCATGTTGTCCGTCGAGAGTAGAAATATTAATGACACGGGCGCTACCAACGCCCTAATACGGGCACTAAACTGAACTCAGATTTAGGGCGCATTAATCTCACGAGATCGAAGCCACGCGAGAGTTCGCGAAAGCGGAAAACAGTGCGAAGTCGCGAAAGCGGGAAAACCTGACAAGAGTAAGGAGGCTGGGTTTGCGAAATTTCGTGATCCGTGAGGAGGCAGAGCGATCCATGGGGGCTATTATTTTTTGGGAAGAGTTTTTTGGATTCCTCATCTTTTCCACCCTTCTTTTGTGTAGAAGCGTCCTCTGTCCGAAGGAGCCTAAAAATTGTTGTCCTACATGTGTGGTAAGTCAGTTCTTAGTATGTTTAGTTTCAGATCTCCTGCGTGGAGTCTCTTTCCCCTTTGTGGGTTGTATCTAAGGAGATAGTTAAGCTCCAGCTTTATCCTCTCCGACGTGGTGATTGTATCCTTCTTTTTACCTTCCCCCTACTCCTCACTCCTCAGCAGCCAAAATTTCCCTCTGTCACGCTGACACCCAACCATTCCCCCTTCCTGCAGGTTGTTACTGTTGTTTCGCCTTCCTAACTCCTTTCAAGCTCAGCCCAATCCCCACTACCACTGTCGACCACCTACAACAACCCTTCCCACTTGATGTCCCTACAGTTTCGCACACTGCCTTCGCCACCACCCGCTTCCCGTGGTTGTCGTCATCCCTCCCAATCATCTTCATCCCTCTAGCCGCCTCCACGACCCAGTGAAAAATATTTAGGAGTAATTGCTTATGTTGTTTTATGTTTGTATTGTTATTTTCATTCAAATCATATTGTAACCATATTTTAATATTAATGAAAGTTAGTTTTTTATATTTCCACTATCTTTTATACTAGTTTCGATATCATTTAGAATGAGAGCTAGTCTAATCCTAGTTTCATCAAAAGGTCTCCTAGCATTCGTCACTACCTAAGTCACCTCCACCAAATTTTTCTTGTCGATTCCCAACCCAAGTCATGTCACCACGAAGAAATACGCCGAAATCGACCCGGGAAGAAATTCACGAGAATTCTACATTCTACAACGATGAGTAGCACAGTTGGACGATGGAAACCAATAAGAGGTTTCCTTCTTCCGTGATCGAGAGAGTCAAAGAGAAGACAAGGACGAGAAGATGAATCTATTCCACAGGAAAGATTACAGTGACGAGGAATATCGACCACACCATTGTGGTATCCAACATTGAAGGAGGTCGAGAGAAGAGGCTCCTTATGGAGGTAAGCGGAACTTTGGATTCAAGATGAACCTCCCATAATTTGAAGGAGGAATGGATCCCGACAAATTTATCGACTAGCTGCAATAAGTTGAACGGATTTTCAAATATAAAGATGTAACAGAGGACAAAAGAGTCAAGCTAGCTACCATTAAACTAAAGAAAAATACCTCCTTATGGTGGGAAAATCTACAAAAACAAAGAAAAAGAGAAGATAATGTGAAGATAACTAAGTGGGAGAAGATAAATAAGGAAATAGAGAAAAAGTACCTCACACCCTACTATCGTCAGGATATGTTTCTGAAACTCTACAACTTGCAGCAGAGGAATCTTTCAGTTGAGGAGTTCACAACCCAATTCAACCACTTGCAATTGAAATGCGACCTGATGAAACTAGAGGAACCTACGATAGTCATATTTCTAGGGGGTCTGAAACCCTCCATCAGCAATGTAGTCTAATTGCAGCCATATTGGATGTTAAGGGATGTCCAGACATTAGCCTTGAGGTGGAAAGACAACAGAAGCAAAGCTACAACAATCATCTTTCAAGAAGCAACCTTCAGGCAGGTTGTCACCTACAATTACCACGGCCGACAAGAAAATGTCAGGAGACACAAGCAAGCTCGGGCAGGGAAATAACACTATGGATCAAAGCGGGAAGAAACATGAGAAGGGTAGCTCCTCCAACATAGTACCGGCCAGGAAGTGCTACTGATGTCACAGCTACAACCACATAGCCTCCAGCTGCCCCACGAATAGGGTACTCACACTCACATATCAAGGCGTCGTAGAAGAGATAAACGACGAGGAGAAAGCTGAAAAATAGGGTGAGGTGTATCAACTCCCACGAGAAGAAGCACTCGTAATTCGACAGAGCCTGCAAAGCTAGAGTATGCATTCTAATCATCGACGACTGAAGCAACAAGAACGTGCCATCAACACAATTGATAGAGCGATTGGGACTTACGACCCAGAGACATTCCCAGCCAAATTCACTGACGCAACAAAAGAAAGAGAATCGAGACAACATCGACTGAAGATGCTTGGTAGATTTTTTAATCGAATGATTGCTACAGGACCAAGTATGATGTGACGTGGTTCCCATGAATGTTTGACACCTTTTGTCCGGATGACTGTGGTGTTGACCTCATTTTTTGTGAGGTCTAGTCTTCCTCTTAGGGTTTAAGATCTAGCCTCAGGGACCTCCCTTCGACTATCTTAGAACCTTAGAAATGGGACCTGCCTCGTTCTAGAAATTGAACCTACTTCTGTACCGTTTTGGAGTTTCGCGTGTGTGGTATCGACTTCTAGCACTTAGAAGGGTGAAACCAACATGAGGAAGCCCAAAAGGAATTCTTATAGGACCTTTTGAGCCTTAGGGTGACCTTCTGCACAATTCACACTCTCGCGCGCACAAATCTTGCAATTCAGAGAATCGACACGTCCGATCGCCACAATTCACATCGCTTGCACCGTTACCTGTCGAAGACTCGAATAGACTTGTTGAGGCGATCGATCGCGGGTCAAAATTTTGTGAAATTTGAATTTTGACGCGTTTTTGACCCGATTGTCGACGAGCGACCCCGGATGACAAAAGCGACCCCGGATGACAAAACGAGCAATCCCGGATGACAAAACGGACTGTCCCGGCGCGTCCGGAACGTCGATTTTGCCTAGGAAGGACATCCATTTTGTTACGATGTCGCGCGTGAATAAATCGCATATGATTTAATATATATATATATATATATATATATATATATAAATTTATATAAATCAAATCCTTCATTTCCTCTTTAAGCTCTAAATCCCTAAACTCGTGCACCCAAGCTCTGCCTCTTTTCCCTCTCCTGTTCGCGTGTCTGACCTTTCCCTTTCTCGGTCTCGAGCCAACCGAGCTCCTCCTCCACGCGAGAGAAAGTTGACTTCTCATTCGTCCTTGCCCGACACTGCGCCCCTCCTTCCCGAAGCCGTGCCAGCCTCCCCGGGCTGTGGTTTTTACTTTTCTTGGTAGTTTGACTCTGGCAAGCTTGCTCCTTGGGACACTTAAATGGCAAACTCTCTCTTCTTCCCGATATTTTCCTCGCTGCCACAGGCTGACCACTTGGTCTTGGATGTTTTGGTTGCTTCGCCTTCTACGAGCAAAGAATGCGGCTTTTTTTTTTCTTTTTGGCCCGATTCGAGTACCATGGGTAGAGGGGGGATC